ATCACATAATCAGGTATATTTCCTATGTAGCATTTCATATACTGTGAAGTTATTTTTTATGTGTTTATTGTGTCTTCCTCTCCTCTACTCCTATCTCCACCTCCAAATATAAACACTATAGACAGGAGACCATGTTCAGCTTGTTCATCATTTCCTTTTCCTAGAATAGTACCTAGAACATTGTGGGCACTCCATAAATATTAAATGATTAAAGAATAAATTCTATTCTGGATCACCATTACCTCTCAATTCATAATATTCTATGTTTTTAAATTTTCTTTTTTTAAGTAAGCTCTACGCCCAAAGCGGGGCTTGACTCATGACCCTGAGATCAAGAGTAGCATGCTCTACCCACTGAGCCAGCCAAGCACCCCAATGATTCATGATATTCTAACCTTTTACTAGTATCTATCCTCTTTTATTCTTTCTATTCAAATAGAGTCTGATCATATGCTTCCCTGCTGAAAAAATGCAATGGTTTCCTCTGCCTACCTATAATATTAAATGCAAACTCCACATTTTAGAATTCAAGGCCCTCCTTAACATGACCCTTTTCCAACCCTCCATCCCCTATCACTTGTTCCTCTTGTGGACTTAACCCTCTAGCCAAATGGGACTGCAGCTCAGAGAACAGGGCACAATAGTTTCTCACCTCCATATCTCTGTTCCTCTTGTTACCTAATCCTGCAACCTCCCTTCCCTCTTTTGACATGGCCAAACCTATCCCCTTCTTCCAGATACATGGCAATGCAATTTTTTCCATGAAGGGCAGCTTTCTATATCCTCTCAACAAGCTATCTCTTTCCTTCCTTTCAGCCCCCAAAGCACAGTTTGAACTTCTATTATTTTGGTTTAATTCAAGGCAGTTTTCTTATTCCTGTTGCCTTCACCAGACTATGGCTTCTTTGAGACAAAAATGTTAACTCTTTGTCAGATCTTCTGCAGAGTAACTAGTACTGAGCTATGAGTATTTACTAAACCCTAGTAAGATCATCACTTTTCTTTCTTTCTTTCTTTCTTTTTTAAGATTTTATTTATTTATTTGACAGAGAGAGAGACAGCGAGAGAGGGAACACAAGCAGGGGAAGTGGGAGAGGGAGAAGCGGAGCAGGGAGCCTGATGCGGGGCTCGATCCCAGGACCCTGGGATCATGACCTGAGCTGAAGCCAGACACTTAACGACTGAGCCATCCAGGTGCCCCGATCATCACTTTTCTGCCTAACAAAATCTATCAAGGCCTAGCTAAACTGTCATTCCCTCTGAGAAAACTTTTCTTCATCTTTCTCTCATTTATTTTTTCCTTTCAAATAGTTACTGAGTACCTACATGTCAGACCTTTTGTTAGATGCACAAAAACTTTAAAATATTCTTGCCAATGTCCATTGACCAATGGATAAACAAAATGTATACATATGTAATAGAATACTATTCAGCCCTAAAAAGGAAGAAAAGTCTGACATGCTACAACACGGATGAACCTTAAAAACATTACTTTATATAAAATAAGCCAGACACAAAAGGATAAATATTGTATGATTCCACTTATATGAGATACTTAAAATAATCAAATTCACAAAGATAGAAAGTAAAACAATGGTTACCAGGAGTTAGGGGAAGGGGTGAATGGGGAGAACGCTAATATGACACTACAATGCATTAAGGTATAGTATATATGTATCTCTCCTATTCCACCAATACACACTGAGATTATGAACTCTTGAGGGTAAAACTATATCTTATTCATGTCCTTATTCCTGGTCCTACCATAATATCCAGCACGAAGATAACTCTCTAAACTTTAAAGCTGCCCAACAATAAAATGGGCTGCCTCAGAAGGAAGATGCTAGCTCCCACTGACTGAAAGATAACATGGAAGTTCAATGACTCCGAAAAATGTTATGCAGGGAGTTCCAACATCTGCAGAAACCCAGTTGAATGAGCTAGTATTAAAGATCCCTTCCAGCTGTAGGTCTCTAGCAGAAAAATTCTCATGGTGGCTGTGAGTGGGACCCCTTGCCAGCCTTTGTTCCTGAACAGCGCTGCAACTTCAGGTAAGTAATGGAACTTTTGCAGGCTCTTTTCCTCATCCCAAGATACAAAAATTGTTGCTTTTAGTTAGTTGCACTTAGGAATCTAACCATCATAAAATAATGCCTTAGTATGGGATTTTTCAGGGGTGCCTGGGTGGCTCAATCGGCTAAGTGTCTGCCTTCCGCTCAGGTCATGATCCCAGGGTCCTGGGATCGAGCCCCGCATCGGGCTCCCCGCTCGGCGGGAAGCCTGCTTCTCCCTCTCCCACTCCCCCTGCTTGTGTTCCCTCTCTCGCTGTGTCTCTCTCTCTGTCAAATAAATAAATAAATAAAATCTTTAAAAAAACACACACACAAAACCATTTTTCAGATAAATGAGGGCATTCATTCTGTTAATAAATATTTATTAGGCATCCATTGTCTAATGCCTATCCATTACCACACACTGGAGTCTGGAAATGTAACAATGATTAAACAAAGTCCCCAATAGCAGAGAACTTAAATTCTAGTGGGGTGAGACCTACAAGGTGGGAGAGGAGAAGATACAGAAGTAGCCCATACAGAAAATTAAATTGAGGCAATATATATCCTCGGATAGCTACTTTGGACTGAGTGGTTGGGGAAGCCCTGAAGAGGTGGCAATTATGCAAAGATCTGAATGACAAAAAGGAAACAAGGATTCAAAGATCAGAAAGGCCTGTTGCAAAGGCCCTGAGACAGGAATAAGGCTCACTTGCCTGAGGTACTAAAAGGCTAGTGAGGCTGAAGGTAGTGGGGGGAGGGAAGAGGGAAGATATGAAGTATAAGAAGTAGACCAAGTCCAGGTCAAATAGATAAGTTAGAATAAAATCCAAATTCTTTACCTTAAGTGCAGTAGGGAAACTCTTAAAAGAATTTTAAGCAAAAGAGTAATCAGACTCATACCTTAAAATGATCACTCTAGTTTCTGTGCAGAAAATGGTCAGCAGGGGTGGGGAAGGTTAAAAATTGTAAGATGTTGACAGGCCTGTCAGGAAATGACTGCAAAACATCAAGCAAGATGATGGTGGCTTACTGTTGGGTGGTAGAGAAGTATAATGAGATTACAAATATAGATTTGGAGGTAAAGTTGGCAGGACTTGTTTAATGATGGATTTGGATGTGAAGATGAGGGAAAAGAGAGGGGAAAAAAGAGCTGTAACATGAGTACTATAGAGATGGTGGTTCTATTTCTGAAGAAAAAAAAAAGTAAATAGAAGAGAAACAGTTTGGGTAGGAGGAGTTGGGTTAGAAATCAAGAATTCTTCTTTGACCATGTTCAAATTAATATGTCCCCTAGTTATCTAAGTGGCAAAATCAAGTAGGAAGTGGATATATGCATGTAGAGTTCTGGAGGTCAGAGCTGGAGATGGGGTTTATGGATCATCACCATGTAATTGTATATTAAAGCCGTGGAACTGGATAAGCTCACCTTGGGAGAACCAATACAGAGAAGAGAAGGAGGCCCAACTCCAAGCTTGGAACACTTAACATTTAGATATTGAGCAAAGGAATGGCTGGCCTAGAGTTAGGAAGAAAATCAGGAGAGTGTGATGTCACAACAGCCAAGACAATAAACTGTTTCTAGGAAGAAGTGCCTATGACTAATGCTGCTAAGAGGTCAGGTAAGGTAAGAAGAGGGAAGTGGTCATTGGTTTAGCAGTCCTTGTAAGAGTGGTAAGGACAGAAGCCTGACTGGAGCAGGGGGGAGAAAATTGAGTCAAATGAGTCATTACAGAACTTTGATTATTCCTCAACACAACTAAAGTTCCAAGGTATTAACTTCTTATAATGTCTTTACCAGAAACTCCAAATTTCTAGCATAAAATAAATGATTTTTCCTAAAGATAGTAGGCAGAAAGGCAGAAAAGAGTCAGATAAATCTGGATCTGAACATATCCTCTGCCATTTACTAGCTATAGGTCTTTAGGAAAGTTTCTTAACCAGGTTAAGCTTCAGCTGCCTTGTCTATAAAATGCAAATATTAATAATACCTACCTCAAAGGTTGTTGTGAGGAATAATAAGATATTGCGTGTAAAATGTGTAGTACAAGGGAGTTGTTATCGCTGCTGCTTTCATTATATTTTTCTTTAGATAGTCCCTTTTTTAAAAATCACAGTACTTTATTATAATTAGGTTATTTTAATTGTTAAAATTAAATGTAAAAATATCTGATGCAGTTTTACTAATCTTTTAAAATATATGTCCCATCTTCGTAAATATAAAAGGTGATACATCCACCACCACTTAGGAAATTCTAATATGGATTCTACATCCGTTCTACATGGATGGCATGATAGAGGCTAAGAATTGCTTTATCTTCGGGCGCCTGGGTGGCTCAGTTGGTTAAGCGACTGTCTTCGGCTCAGGTCATGATCCTGGAGTCCCGGGATCGAGTCCCACATCAGGCTCCCTGCTCAGCAGGGAGTCTGCTCTCCCTCTGACCCTCCACCCTCTCATGCTCTCTGTCTCTCATTGTCTCTCTCGCAAATAAATAAAAAATCTTAAAAAAAAAAAAAAAAGAATTGCTTTATCTTCTACATATCCTCATCAGCCTAAACTATGCTAAGTTTTACTCTCTTAAGTCTGCATTGAGGAAAGTAATAGGGTTATTAGAGGGGTGGATTCCCAACATATCATTAATAACCTCAGGCTGTGCCCATGACTTCTACTTCTTGCACAAGGTCAACAGTATAATTCTTACTTCATAACTTACTTTTAGGGATTTTATTCCTACATAAAAATTAAAATTGTTGCCATCTTTATATAAGACATTTAAATATTTAACGTATGGAGAAAGGACAGTTAGCCAAACAACTAAAAATTGTGTATCTAAATTAAGTAAAAATATTTTAAAATGTGTAGTCATTTAAATAAATACAAAAATCTCTGTATACCCAGAAATAAATAACGCTAGTAGAACACTAGTCAAAATGCTGAAAAATACTCACCGCAAAGTCAAAGTGTAATCCCCCTGCATTTTTGTTGAGGCATCTCTGACCAAGAACGTACCATCTGGCATATCCCGTAATTTGTCATTTACCTCCTCCCTGAAAAATAGAATTACAGGAAAAATGAAAAAAAATTAATCATCAATTATTCTCTTCAAATATTACTAAGGCCAGTTAGGAGGTGAGTATGTCTAAGGTCATAGAATTATGGGGGCCTTCAGAGGTCATTTAATTCCTCCCCCTAGATATGATCTTTCTGTTTTGATTTTCAGTATTATGCAATCTAAGGAAGGGCTATTTGCTTTTTAAACTCTTCCAGATTTCAACCCGTCTGTAGGGGATAGTATTTCCATTAAGCCTCTAGGGCTTCCTTAGGCAAGTCTAAACTTGTAGGGTTTCAGGAAAAACCAGCAGCTGTTTAGAAAGAAGGTTGTGTTTAAGCAACAGTGGCAGCTGTGTCTGATCAGAGGGGGGTAAATTCACTAAGTTCACAACCTTTCAATATAATCTTCTCCAATTTGAATTTATACTGATGATAAAGTCCTCCTGCAGAGTTGGTTTAGGACTTAAGAAAAAACACTAGAACACTCAGGATATGGCAGGGCACAGAAGACTCTTGAGTTATAGACCCACAAGGTCTTAGAATATAAATTTAAATGGTATTTAAATATAATAGATCCTTTTATTGTACAATTATAACAAAAATTTTCTGATCCATTTTAATATAAAATATATTAAGTCTCCTTCAAAAACTTAAACATAGAATTACCATATGACTTAGAAATTCCACTTCAGGGTATGCACCCCAAAGAACTAAAAGCAGGGACTTGAGGGGCACCTGGGTGGCTCAGTCGGCTAAGCAGCCAATTCTTGATTTCAGCTCAGGTCATGATCTCAGAGTTGTGAGATCAAGGCCCATATGGGCTCCGCGTTGGGCGGGGGGCCTACTTAAGATTCTCTCTCTCCCTCTGCCCCTCCACCCTTTAAAAAATAACAAATAAAAATGAAAAAAATAAAAGCAGGGACTTGAATAAACATTTCTACACCAGTGTTCATGGCAGCATTATTCACAATAGCCAAAAGCTGTAAACAATCCAAATGTTCAAAGCCAAATGTCCAGATGAATGAATAAATAAAAATGTGGTATATACACATAATGGAATATTATTCAACCTTAAAGAGGAAGGAAATTCTGATACATGCTACAACATGGATGAACCTTGAAGACATTGTGCTAAGTGAAATATGCCAGTCACAAAAGGATAAATATTATATGATTCCACTTATGTGAGGTACCTAGAGTGGTCAAATTCATAGAAACAGAAAGCAGGTTGGTGGTTTTCCAGGGCTGGGGAGAATAGGAGGAAAAGGCAGTTAGTGTTTAATGAGTACAAAGTTTCGCTTTGGGGAAGATGAAATAGTTCCAGAGATGGATGATGGTGATGGTTGAACAATACTGTGAATGTACTTAATGCCACTGAACTGTACATTTAAAGATGGTTAAAATGGGGGCGCCTGGGTGGCTCAGTTGATTAAGCGACTGCCTTCCGCTCAGGTCATGATCCCGGAGTCCCGGGATCGAGTCCCGCATCGGGCTCCCTGCTCGGCAGGGAGTCTGCTTCTCCCTCTGACCCTCCTCCCTCTCATGCTCTCTGTCTCTCATTCTCTCTCTCTCAAATAAATAAATAAATAAATCTTTAAAAAAAAAAAAAGATGGTTAAAATGGTAACAAAGGAAAAAAAAAAAGAAATGAGTACCACTTTGGTAGTTGAAGAGAACAGACAAGAGAAAGAGAAACACAAGCATATTGAAAAATACAGCATCAACCTTGAACTCAATTTGACAGAAATGGATAGGTCTTTTTTAAAACAAAATTCAAGAAAAACAAGAAATTTGAATATTCAAATTCAATATATATGTTTTCCCTTCTCTAGGTTCAACATTTCCCAAAACCACATTTTACCTAAAAAGCATTCTACTGCTCTAGAGTCCCGTTTCTCAAAATGAGGCATGTGAAGAGTGCATCAAAATCACCTAGGGAGGTTAAATGCAGATTCCTGGGCCACACCCCAATTGATTCTTGTGCATGCAAAGATTGTGGAACCATTGCCTTAGACACAGAAAGGTAAAGAAAATGAAGTATCTTTTACAGAAAAACACATGTAGCTATCCTAAATCTTTTGTTTCATTTATTCAGAAATCTATCCTTAATACAGAATTAAAATAATCACACCTGTAATTTAAAGATTTTCTTGTCATTTTCTTGTTGAAGGACAGCATTTAGAAACTTTTGAAGCATTCTCACAATTTTTAAAATGGTAATCTTTAAATGACAACTAGTAGGGCACTTCTCAAAAATGATTTGTTTCTAAACTGCATTGAATTATAGTAGCATTCTAGTTACCTTGAAATATCCCCCCAGTACCATTCTGCATCCTGAAGAGAAACAGAACTGTCCTTCATTCCATTTGTAACGGCTGAAGTCATTGGCTTAGGTGGCTTTGGTGGAAGAGCTAGAAGAAAAATGAATATTATTTTGTAGATGTAAATTACTATTTGTTTTCTAATTTCCTCAGTCAGGAACAGCTCATTAACCAATGTACATTAAGATTCAAATAATTATAAATTCAATAGTGTTATTTTATGTTAAATGTTAGCCAAAGAAGGAATCCTTCTAGAACTCTACCAATCACTGCCTAAAAGGTAAAATTTTCAAGTTACTTGGGTTTTTTTTCCTTCTTATAAAGTGCTTTTAATTCTAAACAAATAGCCAAAAAAACTTCATCGTCTCTCAAAAGACAATGTGACACCCCTTCACAAATAATTCAGTCCAACAGCCATTAAGTGAGACTGGTCATGATGGCCAAGAGTTGGTATCAGAGCCCAAAGCAGGTGAAGGAGGATTATGTCCATATAGGAGGGCAGCAGGCACAGCACAGGATCTCAGAGCTTCAGGAGGGTGAGGAGGAGATCCTCACCGGTGCAGTCTGGCATGAGATGTTAAAGCTGAATGAAGGAAAAAGGGCAGTGGCACAGGGCCCGGGTGGCACAGAGTACTGGAGACCAAGCCAATGAGGACACAGGCCTCAGAAGACGGCATACCAATACAATGGGACAAAGCCAGATAACGGTGAAGAGTTTCTACTTGGGGGAGGGGAGGCTGAGAGGTATCAGGGGGAATGCAGCAATGGCTGTAAGAGATTGGGTACATACAGAGAGATAGATCAAATAAGTACAACTATTAAAAATAATAGGAACCAGCTTTCTCATAGTCTAAAAAGGAAATTACAAATATGGAAAGGCGAAAAAAAACAGAACGATCCCTCTGGTTTGAACTGGAATTACAGCTATTGATATGAACTCATGAAATTTTATAAAAAGATGAACTTTAATAGAAATTTAATAGAAAGATAGATATGTCTATACATATAGGGAATAAAACTATTCCCTAGCTCTGTCCCCTGAGAGGTCCTAAGATGAGCAGCACCCCCAATATGCATAACTAGCACCCAGATCTTGGGGTTTTTGTCTGTTTGTTTGTTTTTAAAGGTTTTATTTATATATTTGACAGAGAGATAGCAAGAGCAGGAACACAAGCAGGGGGAGTGGGAGAGGGAGAAGCAGGCCTCCCACCGAGCAGGAAGTCCAATGCGGGGCTCGATCACAGGACCCTGGGATCATGACCTGAGCCCAAGGCAGACACTCAATCATCTAAGCCACCCAGGCGCCCCCAGATCTTGGTTTTTAACGCTATTCTCTACTAAAAAGAACCAGGGCTCTTTGAAGAAAAGCTGATTCCAGGGCTGGGGTAGAGCTGGGCTAGAGCTAGGGTAGAGCAAGAACCAAATGAACCTCAAACATCATATTATACCAAAAAGTAAAAAGCAAGTGCTCAAAGAATGAGGGGCCATGACAAAAGAATAAAGAAGCTAGCTTGAAGGGGCTTCCACTACCAAAAATGGAACAACTGGAGCATCAATACAAATAATGATAGTAAGGAAATATAAACTATCAAACAAAATAAGAATCCATGTGCCCATGCAGCTATAAATAAAAAAATGAAAAAACCCAAAAGATTAACAGGGAGGATTTATATAATCTCAAAGGGCTTTCCCACAAATGCTTATTAGTCACAAAAGTAAAAAGACAGTAATAGTGGAGAAGCCTGGCAAACACTACCTTAATCAAGTAATCAATCGAGTTAAAACCACCAGTAATGATAAAATCTTGGGCCCCCAATAGGATGCACTGAGGAGGACATTAATATCACTTTTGGGATATTCTTGCCAAATACGCATAAACTGAATTTAATCATGAGGAAACATTAGACAAATCACAATTTAGAGATATTCTACAAAAAAACTGGCCTGTAATCTTCAAAACTGTCAAGGTCATGAAAATCAAGAAAGATTGAGAAACTGTTCCAGATTGAAAAAGACTAGAGAATCATGACAAATGCAGTGTGTGATTCTGGACTGGATCCTTTTTGTTATAAAGGATATTACTGGAACTTGAATGGAAGCTGAGGATAAGATTGGTATTGTAATGCATCAACATTAATTTTCTGATTTTCTATTGTAGTTATGTAGGAAAATGTTCTTATCGGTGGGAAATACATACAAACATGATCATTGCGGGGTATCATGTTGGCAACTTTCTCTCAATGGTTCAAGAAAATAAGTTATTTGTACTGCACTTGCAACTTTTCTATAAGTTTGAGATGCCTTCTACATTTCTTTTAATTAATAAAAAAGTTAGAGACAATATAGGGGGAAGGGGGAAAATGTGAATATATTCTTCAAAAAGAAACTCTTTACTGTCAAATGTTCTTAACAAGGATGTCAAAAAATTCAATGGTAAAAGAATAGTCTTTTTAATAAATGGTGCTAGGACAACTGGTTACCCGTCAGACCCCCATATCATACAATATGCAAGAATTAACTCAAAATGGATCAAAAACCTAAATGTAAGAGCTAAAACTGTAAACCTTTTTTTTTTTTTTTAAGATTTTATTTATTTATTTGCAGAGAGAGAGAATGAGAGCGAGCACAAGCAGGGCGAGCGGCAGGCAGAGGGAGAAGCAAGCTCCTCCCGGAGCAAGGAGCCCGATGTGGGACTCGATCCCAGGACTCTGGGCCAAAGGCAGATGCTTAACCAACTGAACCACCCAGGCATCCCAAAACTGTAAAACTTTTTAAAGAAAACAGGATTGAATCTTCATAACTTTGGACTAGGCACTGGTTTCTTAGATAGGAACCAAAAGCACAAACTAAAGAAAAAAAAAACAGATAAACTGGATTTGATCAAAATTAAAAATTTTTGTGCTTCAAATGACATCATCAAGAAAGTGCAAAGACAACACACAGAATGGCAGAAAATATTTGTAAATCATATATCTGATAAAGTTGTATCTAGAATACATAAAGAAGTCTTGCAACTTAATAAAAAGACAAATAACTGAATTAAAAATGGGCACAGGATCTGAATAGACATTTCTCCAAAGAAGATATACAAATGGCCAACAAGCACATGAAAAGTTAATATCGGCCATCAAGGAAATGAAAATCAAAATCACAGTAAGATACTACTTCAGGGGCGCCTGGGTGGCTCAGTCAGCTGAGCATCCGACTCTTGGTTTCAGCTCAGGCCGTGATCTCAGGGTCATGGGATCGAGCCCCGTGTGGCTCTCCACACTCAGCGTGGAGTCTGCTTGGGATTCTCTCCCCGCCCCCCGCCTCTCCCCTTGCTTGCTAGAGTACTCTCTCTATCAAACAAATAAGTAAATTAAAAAAAAAAAAAAAAAACACTTCACGCCCACTAGGATGACTATACAGCTGACCCTTTGACAACAGGGGTTTGAACTGCATGCAGGGTCCTCTTACACAGATTTTTTTCCCAATAAATACGTTAGAAATTTTCTTGGAGATTTGCAACAGTTTGAAAAACCTTGCAGACAAAGCACATAGCCTAGAAATATTGAAAAGCTTAAGAAAAAGTTAGATATATCATGAATGCATAAAATATATGTATATGCTAGTCTATTTTATCATTTACTACCATAAAATATACACAAATCATAAAAAGTTAAAATTTATCAAAATTTTATGCAAACACATACAGACTGTACATGGCCCCATTTGCAGTTGAGAGAAATGTAAACAAAGGTAAAGATACAGTACTAAATCGTAACTGCATAAAACTAACTGTAGTACATACTGTGCTAATACAATAATTTTGTAGCCATCTCCTGTTGCTATTTCAATGAGCTCAAGTGTGTTCATCTCTCCAGTGAATTGTATATTGCAGTAAAAAGTAATCTCCCATGGTTTTTGCATATTTTTTGTGTTACCATAATCCTTGAATAACACCAGAGGACCCATACAAAGTGCCACTAGTGATACTGGAAGCTCCCAAGAAGCAAAGTCATGACATTACAAGAAAAAGTTGAATTGCATGACCAAAGTCTGCAGTTGCCCACCAGCCTAAGGACCATTGGGGTTTTTTTTTGTTCATTCGTTGTTTTTTTTTTAATGGAAATTTGTGAAACCATCCCTGTGGCTATGCCAGTAAGTGCAAAAACCTTGTACCTTTTAGGAAATACTGAACCAAATATACTACATTTTTTTTATCCTGTATTGAAAATGCAGCTTTTATGTGGGTGCAGGATTGCTGTAAGATACCTATAGACTCTAATATTATTCAAGAAAAAGCTAAGTCATTATATGACAACTTAAAGCAAAAGGAAGGTGAAGGATCTAAAACTGGAGAATTTAAACAGCATAGGATACTTTGATAATTTTAGAAAGAGGCTTTAAAAATGTCAAGATGGGGGCGCCTGGGTGGTTCAGTCGTTAAGCGTCTGCCTTCGGCTCAGGTCATGATCCCAGGGTCCTGGAATCGAGCCCCACATCGGGCTCCCTGCTCGGCAGGGAGTCTGCTTCTCCCTCTCCAACTCCCCCTGCTTGTGTTCCCTCTCTCGCTGTGTCTCTGTCAAATAAATAAATAAAATCTTTAAAAATAATATAAATAAATAAATAAAAAATAAATAAAACAGCAGAAGCAGCTTCTGCCAACCAAGAGGCAGCAGACAAGTTCCCAGAGGCCATTAAGAAAATAATGAAGAAGAAAGGATGTCTACCTGAACAGGTTTTTAATGCAGACAAAAGTGCCCTTTTCTGGGAAAAAAAAAAAAATGCCACAAAGGACATTCATTAGTAAGAAAGAGAAGCAAGCACCAGGATTTAAGACAGGAAGGAATTAAAAAAAAAAAGACAGGAAGGGATAGGCTAACTCTACCATTTTGCACAAATGCAGTCAGGTTTATGATCAGGACTGCCTTATCTATAAAGTTGCTAACCCCTGAGCCTTGAAGGGAACAAATAAACACCAGCTGCCAGTCTTTTGGTTCTACAACAAGAAGGCCTGGACAACGAGAACCCTTTTTCTGGATTAGTTCCATTGATGCTTTTTGTCCCTGAAGCCAGGAATTACCTTGCCTTTTAAAGTTCTTTTG